GAATATTTTATATTTATTATTTAGAATAAAAAATCTAATATATAATATTTTAAAAGCTAATGCATATAATTTATTTTAAAGCACTATATTCTTTTATATACTCAACTCTATGTTCAAATTATATACATGTATATTGAATGACATTGAATTTAAGCCATAATGTTTTGTTATAAAAACAAATTCCTGGAACCTCAATAACAAAAGACTGGCTTTCAGGTAATTTACCTGCACAGTATTATTTTCCGAAAAATAATCTTTAAATTCGTAAATGTTAGCATAAATTATCAAATTACCAATACATTAAGTAATATATGGTATTTTTATATACTGTATTAGCAGTGAATTATTTGTTTTAAAAAAAATTCTTAGAAAATATTCTATACTTTACTGTAATAACTTACAATATAAATGAGGAATTTTCAGAAAATAACAAATTTCGATTTTATATTTTATAAATATATAAATGTTTGTGATTTCATTTTTAGTTTTATTATTTAATAAAATATTCTAAAAATGAAGTTTGTGTTTAATATAGTAATAATTGCTATTAATATTTGCCTAAATGATGGCAAACCCAAAGGACCCGAACAAATACATCTATCACTCGGTATAAGGTATTGTATTTTCAATGTTCAATAATAATAATAAGTCTATAAATTGACAGCAAATCCAAATGAAATTATGGTCACATTCACTACATTTAAAAAGACCGACTCGTTGGTAGCGTATAGAGAAACTGGTGGACAAGCATTTCAAATCAAACATTCAAAGGTGACATATTTCAAAGACAAAAAATATAAAGCTTATATTCATCGAGTTAAATTAAATGATCTCATTCCGGGTGCTACTTATGGTATGCTATCATACTTTCAATATTGTACAAACTATTTTTATAAATTGAATTATACTTGACTAGAGTACAGATGTAAAGCCGACAACATTTGGTCCAATGTTTTTTCATTCAAAGTCCACAATCCAGATACACCATTAAAAGTGGCCATTTATGGTGATTTAGGTCTTAAGAATGGTGTGTCGACTCGTCAATTGATAAAAGATGTCGAGAAAGGACTTTACGACACCGTATTTCTGTAGCCAAACGTCAGATAATACTTTTGATTACTAGTTTTTAACATTTATATATCTCTATTATCAATTGATATCTATTATTGCAGGCGATATTGCATACAATCTGAACAGTGTAAGTACTGAACTGTAAATTTATGTAATATAGTATACGCTAATTAAATGGCAATTATGATATGCGCCAATAGGATGGTGGATCAGTTGGGGATGACTTTATGAATCGCATCCAACCGATTGCAGCTAACGTTCCCTATCAGGTGTGTCCGGGAAATCATGAGAAAAAAAGGTGCCATAAATTACTGTTTAATTTTATATCTGGAAATAATTGTTACATAATTATCATAATATGCGGTTTTGGTGATTATCCAGAAATTTCACTCATTATATAAATCGCTTTTCAATGGTTGACTTCGCGACACAGCGACTGAACAATCATTACTATAGCGTAGACATGGGTTCCGCACACTTTGTATTCTTCTCGTCTGAGCACTACTTTTATCCCGTTAAGAAGTGTCTTAGCGTATAGTTTACCGTTATGCTTACCGAACTTTTGCTGAATTTCGTTCGTTTGTTTGGTCTCAGGTCTGTTTTCTCTGGGACCTAATATTGTGAGCGTGTGTCTGGGTACATTTGCGTCGAGAATAATGAAAGGGATTGCTTTGAAAAGGAGTCTATTGTGAGTGTTTAATACAAAAATTAATTTTATATAACCAGTGCTTCCCATCGCTTTCTACAGCTTAGAAGGGGTAGAAGTGGCGATGATTTAGATCTGGAAACCAATTATGGTTTAGAAGATTTATTCTATAGATATGGTGTAGACATTCAAGTCTATGCCCACAAACATCTATATGTGAGATCGTATCCCATATACGACATAGAAGTGGCGATGATTTAGATCTGGAAACCAATTATGGTTTAGAAGATTTATTCTATAGATATGGTGTAGACATTCAAGTCTATGCCCACAAACATCTATATGTGAGATCGTATCCCATATACGACTTGAGTCCATACAAAGGCACCGATGTCTACACTAACCCTAAGGCACCCATTCATATCATAACTGGAATTGCCGTAAAGAGTGGTTAATTAAAAAAAACTATTTGATTTGAATACTGTATATTAATTTATATTTAACAGGGTACTACAAATAGACCAGATTCTGATATTCGAGAAATATTACCGGATTGGGTGGCGTTTTATGCCAGAGACTATGGCTACACGCGTATGAACGTACAAAATAAGACACATATACTCATTGAACAGTACTCGGCTGAAAATGTGAGTCCCAAATGTGAGTTTATTATTTATTTAAAGTTTTTTTCACTTTCAGAACAAAGTTGTGGACAGTTTTGTCATCACAAAAGATAAACAACAAAATTTTCAGTAAATAATGTTTATTTTTAAGTAAACAACTTTTATTAATGATTATTTAAAATTTTAATTATAATTTTAATGAATCAAATATACTCTACTAGTATTATAACACAATATTATGTTATTAATATATAATCAATAGAATATTCATAAAAATAATTATAAGTCTTACCATAATTAGTAAATTTTATAATTATTTAATTATAATTTATAATTAATTACTAATAAAGAATAAAATTATTGAAAATACTTGTTTATTATTCGTATAATTTATTAATAACTTAAATATTTACCTTTTGATCGTTACTTTATAGAAGTGGCGATGATTTAGATCTGGAAACCAATTATGGTTTAGAAGATTTATTCTATAGATATGGTGTAGACATTCAAGTCTATGCCCACAAACATCTATATGTGAGATCGTATCCCATATACGACGCGAGTCCATACAAAGGCGCCGATGTCTACACTAACCCTAAGGCACCCATTCATATCATAACTGGAATTGCCGTAAAGAGTGGTTAATTAAAAACTATTTGATTTTAATACTGTATATTAATTTATATTTAACAGGGTACTACAAATAGACCAGATTCTGATATTCAAGAAATATTACCGGATTGGGTGGCGTTTTATGCCCGAGACTATGGCTACACGCGTATGAACGTACAAAATAAGACACATATACTCGTTGAACAGTACTCGGCTGAAAATGTGAGTCCCAAATGTGTGAGTTTATTATTTATTTAAAGTTGTTTTCACTTTCAGAACAAAGTTGTGGACAGTTTTGTCATCACAAAAGATAAACAACAAAATTTCCAGTAAATAAAGTTTACTTTTTAAGTAAACAACTTTTATTAATGATTATTTAAAATTTTAATTATAATTTTAATGAATAAAATATACTCTACTAGTATTATAACACAATATTATGTTATTAATATATAATCAATAGAATATTCATAAAAATAATTATAAGTCTTACCATAATTAGTAAATTTTATAATTATTTACTTATAATTTATAATTAATGACTAATAAAGAATAAAATTATTGAAAATACTTGTTTATTATTCGTATAATTTATTAATAACTTAAAATATTTACCTTTTGATTAATTTATATACTGTAAGTAGATCTTATTTTGAAATGTATTAAATTGTTATGTTTTTAATTATAAAATAACTTTTATTTAAAATAACTAATCATTTTTATTTAACTTTATGGTATTTATTTATTAAGAAAATTATTATAAATAAATAAAAATAATCATTATGTGTGACATTAGTATTATAAATACAAGTACAGATATTACTTAAAGTAATTCTTACATACAGTGAAAATTCAAAAATATGACTTTCTGTACAAATAAATCAAATGAAACTTTCATTTTGTGAACTAACATTATACACAAAGTAACGATCAAAATGAGTTTAATAATAATATAATAGACTATTATTAATGGTAGTGAAGGAAAACGTAGTATAAATGGATTTGAATGGTAAAAAGCATATGAAAAGCACTAATGGATAATATGATCCGGGTCACTTTAAAGACATGTTTGTCTCTATTCTTGTGTCGAGTCATTAGTGAGACTCAGGTTCCTCTCAATAGCATCAATAGACTGCGATTCTGTACAGAATTGAGGCTCGAGTTGAACAACCGTTTGATCGCATCTACAGCTCTCATCGGACAGGGAGTCTCTCCTATGGAGTGGGCATATGTTGTGCCCATAGAATCGGTCCACATTTGCCGTCGTTATCGAGGACCGGGCGCTCGTATTACTCATATCCTCTGATTATATCAACCATTCAATTGTCGCCAAATTTGGTGTCATATGAGAAATGATTGGACAGAAAGTGATAAGAGATTGAGACATTCAGTGAGACAATGAGAGTGAAAGTGAGAGATGTCTTACCAATACTAGTGACACAGGAGTTCTCGGTGTTGAGACTATTCCTGGGTATCATGAGGTGACACTTGGACTCCGAGGTCTCAATGGTGGGCCACTTGCAGGCCGAGTCCGACTTGATTTGTGACGAATACGTGACCTTTGCGTGAAAGGCGTTGAATGAGGGCGACAATGAGGGGGCCATCGAGGGTGTCAGTGAGGGGGTGTAAAATGGAAATAATATTATACACCAATCAGATTTGCACAACATTTGCTGATAGATGAGGCATGGGAGCAATTATAAGCATGATACAGTATAAGCATTTTATGTTTAAATTTAGCCCAATTTTTAAGATATTTAATAACTATAAAAGGTTAGCAACAACAAATTGAACTAAAATCATTATATGATTTGGACTAATATAATAAAATAACATAATAATAGTTTTTAAGATTTGGTTTTTAGCCACAAATTTTGCTGATTTTTAAAATTAGTTATAAAGTGAATAGAAATTTCGAGAAAATATTAAATTATATTTTTTGAAATAATTTCTAGAAAATAATATAATAACTGCTTTTATGTGGAAAACAGCTGAAAGGCATATTTCCGAATAAATATTTAAAAATATAATTTTATTAATCGATTTGATTATAATAAATAAATGCATATATATATATATATATAATATATATATAAATAAATATATAATGCAGAAAAGGTTTCGTACTTTTAATTTATTTCTTCTGGGATTTCTATAGTTGTATTCAGCGGTTCCCCGGCCTTCACAGTAGTCTTGATATTGCGATAAAACGCATAAAATTGAATAAATCTGTTATTCATATTCAGATTGAGAGGAAAGGGAGAGAAAGACAAAAGTGGATATTGAATAAATGAATCGCTGTTTTGACCAATATTTCAATGATAATTACATTAATAATAGATAAGACAAATAGATTTCTTAATCGAAATATAAGAAATAATTTTTTGCTAGCATTGAGAGCAATATATCTTACATTAAATAATACGATTAGGATATCGATCGCATAAATAGTCGGCGTTTCCTCCACTTCTTGCCGGTGCTCTACGTCTTCATTATTAAAGTCCCGCTTATTATTGGATACAAATATATATTAATATAAGTATTGAAAGAATGAAAACAAAATTATAAGAATAATTCATTTGTCAATATTGTATGATATCTGTATTTAATTGCAATACAATTCTTAAGGGATAACTGGAATGATAAAGTGTCCGGAATACTAGTATAATGTGAATATTGTTGTATTGTATATTATAGACATTGCACAACAAAATAAAAATAATTGATACTATGTTTTCATAGGAATCAAAGAGCTTAAAATCTGATTTATAAATTTTTTATTGGACTCCTAATGAAATATAATGCATGAAAAAGTTTTACAAAAACAAGAATATAATTAAATAAATTCTATTTATAATACAAGTGAAAGCGAAATACTTAGAAATAAGTGGTATATGTAGTATGAACTTGCAATTCAATTAGGTTTTCATTTATATAAAAAAAACCTAAATATCCCGAAAATGTTCTCAAGTTTTCTTTTGTGAAAAAATCAAATTATATTTCTTTTATTCACTTCTATCTCATTCTCAGCGCTATTACAGCAAAGTTTATCAAATTTAATTTAATCACAAAAACCTTAACGCCATTTATTAATCTCAAGTATAAAAACATTTCAAATTATTCATGACAAATGATAGATTAGACATATTTTCATATTTAATACGATGATAACAATGTGACTATATTTTTAAAATTAAATCCAATCCATTTGTGTCCCGATTATATCAATTGTCTCATTCAATGTGTCTATTATTCTTGAGTCGCTTAGAAGTAACTATAATATAGAGTATATCACAGAAAGTATTTATTTTAATGCAATTCTCGTCTTAACTCACAATAAAAAACAAATTTATGAGTCGTTCAGAAAAAATGCAATTTTATAATAAACACAAAAAGCAGTGATTCTTCACTGAAATTTGGGTCAAATGATAGGATATAACGTAAACTTTATAATAAACGAGCGAAACATTTAAAAATTCACTTTCCATTAATCGCTGCTTTGATATATTTTCTGTAGTTTTCACACAAAATAAAAAAATTACATTTTTTTGAAACCTAATGCTAACGATAATGACGAGTTTGTAGCAAATGATGGATTAGATTAAAAAGAGTCTAACGATTGTTATTGTGATTAATATATCGTTTTCATTATACAGATTACATTCAGATATATTCAAAAGTATGTAAGAATCGGAGTAAGCAGAAATTATTTTTGCTTATAATGTGAAATGAATACTGTTTTGATAAACAAGATATTCATTATGAAAACAATTTGTCTTAATTGTTGTCTGGATTTGTATTCAAAGGGAAATGCAAAGAAAATTAGACTCTCTATTAACATAATGAAAAACTTTTTTATATTTTAATTAAAAAGTTTATACAAAACATTCGCATGACATCCCACATAGGATGTCATAATTGTGAGGATTATTAATAATATAAAGATGTCATTCAAGTGGCCATACCTTGAAAAAGAAGACTATATTAGCGAATACTATATCCATACACGTGGTAAAGGAGACCAATGCTATCCATGGTATAAGTAGTCTCTTGCTTTCCTTTCAACATAATTAAAATTCAAGTGTTATTTCATGTTTAAGTGACTTAAGCCTCTTGAGAGAGACTTCTTAATGAGTTATAAGTGTGTTTTGATTGCATATAAGGAATAATAGCAAACAATACTCACAACACAGAGACCTACTATTAAGAAGACTGAGGCGATCACACAGAATATGGACAGCACTACCATTACTGACGATAATATGAGAAGTGCTGTCAAATCAAACATACATTCAATTCATTTTAATTGTCATCATTTTTGACAACTTTTAGATAGAGTACCATAATATAAGTAATAATTTATAAGTAATTAATACTCGATCATTGATTGCATTTCCAGTAATAATAAAGTGTTGACAGTTTTTTATTGTAAATATTATTCATTTATAAATTCAAAATATTATTATAATTTCAGAGAAAATTTTAATGGAAAAATTAATACGGATTATAAATACATTTAGATTTCAGCGAAAAATTTATAGCATTTTAAGTGATTCTGACGTAAAGAGTTGTATTTATCAGTGATTTATACCATGAAAGCACTTTAAACACCATATGTTTTATAAATAACTTCATGACTCACGAGGAATTCTGTTGATTATCATCAAATGGATTATAAATATTGTGTAATTTTAAAAATTATTCTATACGGGTATGTCTAACATTTTTCAAAAACACTGCTAGAACCTATTCGAGAAACTTAAGCCTGTACAAAATTGTGTACAAAATTTGTACTACAATACAAATAAATATTAGTTAAAAATTTAGTAATCCAATTAAATTTATTATAAATATTGAATGTTTACTAAATTATACTGACAAGTAAGTATGATATTTGAATTATGCGTCTATTTTTTGAATTGATTTGAAGGGGGTTTAGCGCGAACGCTGACCCCCACTACCAAAAATAACACGTCCTATCTGTTCCGTTTTGGAATAGTAGCAGGGTTCATCACTGA